TTTAATCAGATTGTAGACTGGGCTACAAGTTACTTAGTTATGTGGAGAATATTTTGTTTTAAGGGAGAATGAGAAAGAACATAATTTTAGACATGCTGAGAGCTCACTAGTATCACAAAACCAGTAACACACTCGTTTATAGAAAAAAATTACATGAATTGGTGTTGCTCAAACTTTGAATTCAGGATTCCTTTAAAATTTAGTATAACTTCTGAGATCCCCCAAACACCTTATGCTAATTATTTGTTGGGCAGCTGAATGTGTGGAGGTTTGCAACTTGCATCCTCCTACTGCATCTGAGAATCTGTGAACTGGAACACTGAATATGTTAGCATGATTGATACAAACCAGGTCCATTTTGGTACTTTAGACACTGACCTGAACAACAAGAACCAAGCAGACATTCCAGTTGCTTCCTACAGTTTCCACACAGGACTTCAGAGGAAGGAAGGAAGGAAGAACATCGAGAGTCCTGGCAAATATGGCTATCTGTTCCCTTGCAACAACTCCCCCCCCCCCCAGCCATGGAGTCTTAAACCACTGTTACACTCAGGCAGTATGCTGAAAAAAAGGGGCAACCAATATCTCAAAGGTGTAATTTAATAATATTTCAAACTAGTCCATATTTTCCTGGCTAAAAATAAGTCCACAACAAAAGAACAACACAAAATGACCAAAAAGAAAATGACCACAACAATCACTAGGCAGGTAGACCTCAATACATCTGAACTTCTCTTGCTCTCCTTGGAGTCATAGGTGCATGGCAGTGTTGATACTCAACACTATCTGCCTTTTCAAAAAGATGCAAAAGATGACCCAGAGAGTGATTTATGTCATGTACTCACACGTGGTCACTTTACTCACCGACACCACACAATGTTATACAACAGCACAAGGTCAAGTAACATACAAGGAACAAGAGTTTCAAATTAAAGAACTCCAAAAAGCTGACCTGAGCAGTCCTGGATTGCTCGTACAATCTGTACAGCGCCTATGATAGTAAATCATATGTTGCACTTATTCAGAGGCTACAGAACTGAGATGGATGCATTTCACGACAATACTTAGTGAGACTCTGGAGCAAGGACACTGATAATTTACTGTGCCAAATATTTATGCCCTGTTGCTACAGCACAGGAATGCTTCCTATAGAAAGCGCGTGCTGTAGCTTTCATGCCACTGTATCCAAAATTTTCAATGAGATGCATGTTAGGCAGTATTTTTTTTTAAGAAGAAGAGGAAGAAGAGATTGGATATATACCCCGCCCTTCACTTGGAGTCTCAGAGCAGCTTACAAACTCCTTTCCCTTCCCCTCGCCACAACAGACACCCTGTGAGGTGGGTGGGGCTGAGAGAACTCTGACACAAACTGCTCTTTCAGGAACAGCTGTGCCAGAGCTTGTGACTGACCCAAGGTCACATCAGCAGGTGCAAGTGGAGGAGTGGGGAATCAAACCCGGTTCTCCCAGATCAGAGTCCGCACACTTAACCACTACACCAAACTGGCAAATGTAACAGACATACTCATTGTTTCCCCAGAAACAGTTTACTGCAAAAGTCCTGCTCAGGTGTGCCTATAGTACAGTGGCAAAAACAATACTTTTTATCCAAAAAGTGTGTTTAGTTAGCTAGCCTGTTCTACCTCATCTTACTTTCTAGCTGATAGAACCACCACCACTAAGCTTGTACAATAGGGTTACTGGCTACTTTGATCCTCTCAGCCAGAAACAACGCAGCCATACCAGCTCACATAGCCATCAAGTAGCCAGTTCTTGCCACTGGATCAACTCTACAAGTAGTATTATGCTGGCAGAATACGATACTGACAACAATCATGTTTATGCACTGTTCTTGCCAATATGCACAAGCAATGTTCCCTCTAAGGTGTGCAGTCTTGTGAGCAAAAAATTTACCTCGTGAGCCAAAAATGGTGCTAGCTTTAAAACTGTGAGCAGGCCAACCTTTTTTTTTTTAATATTTCATTTTACAAACCATGCAGAAACTGGAAATACTTCAGTTTTCTAGGCTTCTCCTCTAGACATCCACACATCAATTTCAACATAATTCTCAAAAATGTGTTGGACAGAAATATCTAAAAGGGTGTCTGGAGTTTCAAAAATTGAGTACAAATTGTGGGATTAATAGGTGATATTGATTGGGTTGATATAGGTAAATATTATCTTTATGGAAACAGAATGCAGCAATGACTCATTTGTGGCACTACATGAACTATGGATCTAAAACCTCAACTCCTTAAGGGTGACAAAAACCTTTGATCTATTAATGATACTGTTTAGTGACATGAAAGGTAATTAATTTAACAGTGCAAATCCTGAACAGAATTACACACTTCTAAATCTATTGAGTTCAACAACTCTTCCAACAGTTTGCTTCAAGAGTACCAATAATCTGAGCTATTGCAACACTAGTTTTGTATACCGGCATAATTTATCCACATGATCCACAGATTATAGTATCATTCGTGCATAGCGGCATCCCTATTCCAAGATGCAAACGCATGTGGAAGTAGAGAGAACACTAAAAGGGGTAATAATGGAAGTAAAATAATTTAGAACTCAATGTAAAAAGAAGCCTTCACTTTATATTGAGCAATAGCAAAGTGCACCTTAGGCAAAACAATCAACAACCACAATTTGCAGTGTGGTCTGCACGTGTCTCGTATTAAGCTATCAGCAATGAACTAGGAGCAGATGAACCAAAAATGATCTGAAAGGGCCTGAAGTCATAATGCCAACTTTTGACACCCTGAGCCTTTGCAGCTGTGAAGGCCACCAAGGGGGAGAAAGGAGAGCACTCATGCCCTCTCCCCCACCTCCAACACACACATTGTTGGTCTTAAAGGTGCTACTGACTCAAACACATTGCTGAGAGGGAGAAAGGAGGGTGCACATGGCCTCCCCCCCCCAACACACGCACACACCAAAGAAATAAAACTCTGTTGGTCTTAAAGGTGCTATCAACTCAAATGCATTCCTGAGGGGAAGAAAGGAGAGTATGTGCAGCTTCCCCCCCACCTCCACCCCCAGCTCCCATGTCACTGGGACCCGCAGCACATGCACACATGACAGTGCTGGCTGCCCAGGGGGAGAAGGTGGAGAGGGCGACTCACCTCTATTCTGTCCTCCTACAGTGGGGCAGGACAATAGGAGTAGAGCAATGGCGCGGGCCAGGCAGCAAGTGGCTGCAGCTCATGGGAGGCAAACCTCTTGGGCAGCGGGGCAAGTACTAACAGTGTCAGCATTCCCCTTTGCAGGGCCCACAGGCCCAGGGCTGGGGGGGGGGGTGTTGGGCCAACCCATGAGGATCCATGAGCTGAGCTAATGAGCTCTGCGCTGGGAGGGGAATCAGTGCACCAGCCCAGGCTCATGCACATTAGAGGGAACCCTGTGCACAAACCCTGCACATGTCAAAATTATTATTACTATTTATTAAATTTCTGGATCGTCGAATCCCTGAGTACACAAGGCTCTGGGCAACTTACAACAGTTAAAAACAATATAAAATTATATATTAAAATCAACAATCAGTTAGTCTAATTTAATAGTCTCCAAATGGTGTCCATAATTTAATCCAAAACCTACTGTGGACTGTTCTTCTATCTAGTGGGCAGGTTAGGGAGGAGGCTGAAGCGAGCAGAATGGGAGAAAAGAGGTGATGAAACATGAAGGATAAAGCCTGTGAAGGTTCCTCAAAAATACAAATTGTACATCCAATTTTTAGTTAGAACAGACACACATTTCACGTAACAGGATCTACTTTTCTAACAGCAATAATCCCAAGGCAGGGACAAGAGACAGAAACAGCAACACATCCATTAACAGTGATTACATGATTTGCTGAATCCAAAATGCTTTCTACAATTGCTTTAAGTACAACATAATTTACAGTGCAATCCTAAATGGAGTTACACATTTCTTGACTGCAATGGGCTTAAAAAGTAAAGGTTTCCCTTGTTCAAAAGCTAGTTGACTCCGACTCTAGGGGGCGGTGCTCATCTCCATTTCCAAACCGAAGAGCCAGCGTTGTCCAAAGATGTCTCTGTGGTCATGTGGCTGGCATGACTAAATGCCGAGGCACATGGAACACTGATACCTTCCCACCAAAGTGGTGCCTATTTATCTTCTTGCAATTTCTTGCTTTCTAACTGCTAGGTTGGCAGGAGCTGGGGCCAGAGACAGGAGCTGAGAAGGGCATAATTCTGTTTAGGACTGCACTGTTAATTCCTTTATATCTGTGACTTGCAAAACTTTAAAAGATGAAAATGCTCTCTGAACAATATACTTTCATTTGTATACAAATCTTATTATTGCCACCTTGATGGATATTTTAATTGCTATGATTTATGTGTTGGTGAGCATGCAAGATACAAAGACATAAAGGCCTAGAAGTAATATGGTTGCTCTTAATGTCAGCAGCATAGGAATATAGGGAAAGTCTTCAGAATGAAGGGCATATTGCGTTTAGTTATATTAGCATTTTTGTTAGTGAATATAGCCATTCAAGTGGTCCAAAAACCTCACTGATATACAAAGGTTGATATTCCTCCCAGGAATACTTTGGAGAGGAGAAGGCCAGATTGGCCACAGCCATCAACCAGAGAAGGCGCAAGCACAAGGAGCTTACTTCCCACCCACCCCCTACAAGGAAGAACTCTTCTCTGACAGATGCACAGGGACTGCAAAAGGAAGTAGGAAAGGACTGTGTCTGCCACTGCTGACCAAGAAACCTCTTGGAAGCTACACCTCCATCACTCTAGAAAGAAAGCCAGTAAGGGAAGATTATCTTGACCACAACTGGATTTAGACGCTTAGTTCTTTGCCTTCTCCCTTCACTCTCCTTACCAAGTTGGCTTTATCCACCTGAGGGCAGGGACTCCTGTCTCTTGACTGATGTAAACTCTTTGGGAGATTGCTAGTTGAAAACAGGATATAAATAAAACAAACAACTGAATGAATAACACTGCCAAAGAAAATACCTACGCTGATAGTTGTTCATGAAACAAGCTTGTGCTGTGATCATCCATTCTGCTCGAGTCTCACAGAAGATGGCGATGGTTGTCTTTGGTTGCTGGCCTAACACTGCTAATCCCTTCCCAAAGTTATTAGCTTTATTGTAAACATCTTCATACGAAAGCCAGTTATATTTTCCAAGGATGACCTGATAAAAATAATACAGACTTTTATTCAGAAATTAAGCCTAAGCATTTAGCTGCTTTCATGCAACATTCACAAAGCACAACTGTTCCATCATCCTGGTCTTTTCACCCTTTCCTTCCCCACTGGCCAGCATTAAGAAGAAGAAGAGATTGGATTTATACCCCACCCTTCACTTGGAGTCTCACAGCGGCTTACAAACTCCTTTCCCTTCCCCTCCCCACAACAGACACCCTGTAAGGTGGGTGGGGCTGAGAGAGCTTTGACAGAAACTGCTCTTTTAGGAACAGCTGTGCCAGAGCTTGTGACTGACCCAAGGTCACATAAGCAGGTGCAAGTGGAGGAGTGGGGAATCAAACCCGGTTCTCCCAGATTAGAGTCCGCAAACTTAACCACTACACCAAACTGGCTCTCAGATTTAAGGCCCTTCAGGCAAGGACCTTTTTGCTAATGCTTACCTGTAAAGCCTTATACACAGATTTGGTGCTACACAAATAATAAAAACCAACTATAAAAAATGCAAGAGGAGCAATGAAGGATTTCCAAGGATGTTTGTATTGTGTTCCTGTGTCCCCAAGTCAAAGGAGTCAGGTTTACCAAAAAAAACCCCCAAAAAACACAAAAAACCCCAACTACTTTAAAATTGTCCATATGGGCTACTTAAGAATAACGATTCAACAGCTTGATGCTGGAGGCCACTGTGCAGGATCCCTGCCAAAAGCAAAAAGAAGCAGAGTTTTGCCACCCATGGAATCAAGTGGACTGAGGCCTGTTATTTCAAGAAACTCAGTAGCCATGAAACCTACTCACTTTGCTATCAGATATTTATGGCTTATACAGATAACAGAAGAAATCAGCTGTCTAAGGGCTACAGACACACAATTCTTCACAACTGCTCTATTTTGGAGAAATTCATATTTGTATTATTGATATGTTCAGCCATCTACAGAAATCAGGAGTACTTATGCTATACTGAAATCTTATTTGAATATGTCTTAAATGTATTTGGCATTCTCTGGGATTTCATCACAAGTACTTAAGAGGCATAGGTTTCAATTTCCGGTTTGAAAAGCCACTTAAAATACATTTTGTTTCACAAAGGCAGTTTATTGTGGAAAACAATAGATCAAGACAACTTATGACTAATAAGCGCACTAGCACTTCTACTAACATGTATTTATAGTAAGGTTACCAGATCAGAAAGATGGGGATACTCTTGTTCCATTCTAAGCCACCATGGTCTATTATGCCAAAGGCAGTTCATGTGCTATTTAGCTAAGCAGAAACCAATCATGTATCACCAGTGACTTTAAACACAAAAGTGTTCTAGATGACTCATATGGCAGCCTTACTTATTCAGTTTTGCTATTTATGCATCTAAACCTGTATTGTATAAAGAGCACCTTCCCTATGAGGAAAGGCTGAAGAATCTGGGACCTTTAAGTTTAGAAAAGAGACAACAATGGGGGTGGTGGTCATGATAGAGGTTTATAACATTATGCATAAGGTGGAGAGAGCTGATAAAGAGAAATGTTTCTCCCTCTCCCAAAATACTAAAACTCGAGGGCATCCAATGAAACTAATGAGCAGTAGGTTCTGGATGGACAAAAGAAAATACTGCTTTACACAGAGAGTGATTAAAATGTGGAATTTGCTGCCAGAGGATGTAGTGATGGCCACAGGAATAAACAGCTTTAAAAGGGGATTAAGATAGATTCATGGACGATAAGTCTATCAATGGCTCCTAGCCATGGTGAATGAGGGAAACCTCCACATTCAGAGGCATTAATCCTCTGAATCCCAGAGCCAGGAGGCAACATCACTGGAAGGCCTTGGCCTCTATGCCCTGTTGTTGGCCATCCAGAGGAACTGGTTGGCCATTGTGTGAGACAGGATGCTGGACTAGATGGACCACTGATCTGATTCAGCAAGGCTCTTACGTTCTTAAAGAGGAGAAAACAGCAAATATTGTGATTTACAAAATCTTGGTAAATTTTTGACAAAAAGTTAGCATTAAAAGATAAATACTGCCCTCTAGTGTGCAACTAGAAAGGAAAACTGGATTAGAGTTACATGAAGGTAGTGTGAAAAGTGGTGGAAGGAACATTAACAATTTGAGCAAAATTTTGCTTTTAGACATTGTTTTCTTGATATTACTCTAATTATCCTTTTAGATTGTACTTTTTTAACTTTATTCATCTTAGACCCTGTCTGTATCTTATTCTAATTTACCATCATATGCCATTAACAAATGGCATATGAGGGTAAATTTGAACAATTTGAGATATGCAGATGACGCCACATTACTGGCACAAAATAGTGAAGACTTGAAACAACTACCGATGAAGGGTAAAGCAGAAAGTGCCAAAGCAGGATTACAACTGAACAGTGGACACCAAGAAGACAAGAGTAATGACTACTGAAATTGAAATTATTCAAGATTTTCTATTCCTTAGCTCCTTCATCAATCAAAAGGGAGACTGCTACCAACAAGTCAGAATGAGACTGAGATTCACGCCATAGTATTCTCCACTACTATGTATGGGTGTGAAAGCTGAACAATGAAGAAAGCTGATAGGAATAAAGTTGATTTATTTGAAATGTGATGTTGGAGGAGAGTTCAAATCAAGTCTGAACTCTCTCTACAAGCTGAAATGACTAAACTGAGGCTATCATACCTGGGCACATTATAAGAAGACAAGACTCACTGGAAAAGACAATAATGACAGGAAAATTTGAAGGCAGCAGCAAAAGAGGAAGACCCAACATGAGACAGACTGACTCAACAAAAGAAGCCATGAGGGCCCTCAGTTTGCAAGACCTGAACAAGGCTGTAAACAATAGGATGTTCTGGAGATCATGAACTCATAAGATCGCTGTTAAGTTGCAAGCAACTTGACAGCACTTAACATACACACACAGTATGCGACACTCATTAAAATTTCAGTGTACGGGCAAACTGACTATAATGTAAGAGTAAATTAAATTACTGTATGGCTTCTATGTGGTTATTAACTATGCAATCCTACACAAAGTCAACCCAGTCTAAGCCCACTGACAGATATGTATTTATACTGCAGTAACTGCACAGAATTGCACTGTAAAGCTACAATCACAATCATGTGTATAGGAAACAGGTCCTACTTAACGCAGTTAAGACTTAATTCTGAGTAATCATGTGAAGAATTGTAGTACATGTCATTCTGATGGTTTTCTGTAACGAAATACATACTTTTTCAAAATTCCATGCTTACTCAAATCGTGAACCACAAACATCTCTTAAATGCTGAGAAAGAGCGAACAAACTTATTGTATGCTTAAGACTGTTACCACACTTATTTTGGAAGCCAACTTAATAATTATAAGCTTTGTCAGCTGGAAGTGCTGAGCTGTTTGTACTTCTCATCCCCAAATTAAAAAAAAAAAACCGAACTAGTGCAGATTTTAATCATTTTCAAAAAAAAGACAAATCTGATTAGAGAATTTAATAAGAACATAAGAATAAGAACATAAGAAGAGCCTTGCTAGATCAGACCAGTGATTCATCTAGTCCAGCATCCTGTCTCACACAGTGGCCAACCAATCACTCTGGAGGGCCAGCAATAGGGCTTCGAGGCCAAGGCCTTTCCCTAATATTCCTCCTGGCAGCAGCATTCAGAGGTTTACTGCCTCTGAACTTGGAGGTTCCTTTTAGCCACCATAGATAGTAACCACTGATATACTTATCCTCAATGAATCTGTCTAATAATGTTTTAAAGCTTCCCATGCTTGTGGCCATCACTGCATCCTCTGACAGTGAATTCCACATTTTAATCACTTGTGTTAAAGAAGTATTTCCTTTTGTTTTTCCTGAATCTACTATACATTAACTTTATTGGATGCCCTCAAATTCTAGTATTTTGGGAGAGGGAGGAAAAGTTTTGTCCAATCTCTCTGCCTTCTGCATAATTTTATAACCCTTTGTTAAGCCGCCGCCCCCTCCGGTTTAGTAATCTCTTTTCTATACTGAAAACTTCCAGACTCTATTGACTCTATTAGGCCCTTTGATCATCATGGTTGCCCTGTTTGGTATTTGTTTTTGCTATGTCTTCTTTGAGATACAGTGACCAGAACTGCACACATTATTCCAAAGGAGGCTGCACCATATATTTATACAGGGTTTCATTTATTTATAAGATTTTAAGATCTAACAGGGTTCTATATCATACAATGAAAACCCATTCTACTAGCAAGCATATCCAACATTGCCATCCTATGGAACAAAACAGAATAACAACAAAGGTGTCCATTATGTTGTCGAAGGTCCAAGGTACCCACTAGCTCTCTCTAGGGTTTATCTGCATGCACATTTTAGAAAGTCTGACCTCCTTTGTTCAAATTGCTATGCCGAACTCTGCAATTTCCATAGAGTAGTGTTTTCAGGAGGGAAAAACTTGAGAGGAAAAGTGTGTGTAACCTGTAATGCTGTCTGTCAGCTACCACATGAACTCTGGGGCTATATTCAGTCATTAGGTTAAGCTAACACAGAGCCTGAATAGGTATCAACCACAGCTTGACATGAGTCCAGAAACAAGCTGGGTTCATCTGCATTCAGGCTTAGAATGAGGTCTTGACATGATGTCTGCATGCGGCCCAAGTCAAAGTTGAAAGAAGGCACTGAAGAAGAGGGAGTGGGAGGCTCCTGCGATTTGTGCCATCTCCTCTGTAGCAGACTGGACAAAATGAGTAAAAGAGCTCTCACCCCCCAAGCTGTCACACAATTGTGGGAAGGAGAGGGTCTGTTTTTTTGGACTGAGGGTGACAGCCAAGGGGGGGGGGTCTCCCTGTTCATACGGCTACAGAGGGCAAGGAGCAAGGAACCTGAAACGTCTTCTTCCTCCATTGCTTCCACTGTCCCTGCATAGAAAATCACACAGAAACTACAACAGGCGCGGACCGCTGCTTCTAGAGCTATACAGCCACCCTACCCGATTCTTCCTGACACAATCTTACAAAAAAAAAAGTAGAAAAATCAATGACAACTGTTTTGTCAGGGGACAAGAACTAAATGGTCACAGAGGTGCTAATGGGCACTTTATGTCCAAAGAGACAAAATGTTTCTGTGGCTTTAAAAAAAGCCCTTCAGTGAATAAGCCTAAAGTCTTCAATAAGCCCATTTTTTTTCTCTTTCTCAAGGAAAAAATAAGCAAATTGTTTCACCATTTCTCAGCTCTCTGGTAGTTTAACAACTTGTGTAACAGACTGACCTAGAGGTTCCTAATACTAAGCATTCATTCCACTAATTACACTTACAAAAGAAACTTACTAAGTAGCAAAAATGCTAATCTATCCTCAAAACCCCAATTTGTAAGTAACAACAACACGTTTTCATCTATTCTTCAAACTAACCAGGATCAATGTTATGCACATTTATGGACCATGGGATCATACTGTTCATGAATAGTAAGTGGTCCACAAATTTTGGCCTGGCACAGCCCCAACCTACCCACAATTGCCACTGGCCCTTACACTCCCACAAGTCCACAGTCAGGAGAAGAAAACTCACAGCAGCCTTTTCTCTCATTTTGCGCAACCACCTTGTAATCAGGATCCTTCAAGTAAGGGCCAGAGCACTGACAAATCACAATATCTATCTCCTGAGTACATTTTTGTCCCATGCTTCCTCAAGGAGCACAGGGTGGCTTTCGCTTCTTCATTTTATCCTTGCAACAACCCCCTGAAGTAGGTTAGTCTTATTGGTTCACGGTCACCCAGTGAACTTCACGGGAGAGTGGAGATTTGAAAAGGGGGCCTTCTAACTACTAAACTACACCAGCTCAGCATCAAATCAGCAATCTGTCTACAAATGTTAATAGAAGAGGGCAGTGACAGACTCATTTCCACTGCAGTGCTTTAAAATCAACACAGAAAAGTTATTTTGCTCACTGGACGATTCCTGTAAGCATCCATAGACTGTTGGTGAGTACAGCATGAAGAAGACAGAAGTCCAAAGTTTGTATTCATTCTATGGAGGTTAATTTGATTTGTCTAGTTATAATTCTTGACAATAAACACTGTAGTAACCGCCTTCTCTCAATCTACAGAACAACAAAACAGAAGTGCTACTGGTGGAGGTGGAGGTCTGACCCAAAACTGGGTCCTGTTCTGGATGGGGTTGCAGTCCCCCTAAAGGAGCAGATTCACAGCTCGTTGGTGCTCCTGGACCCAGTTCTCCCGTTGGATAAACAGGTGGCAACTGTGGACAGGGGTGCCTTTCATCAACTTCAGATGGTAAGCCAGCTGCAGCCTGTGGGCAGGAAAGATCTTGCCACCAGCAAATGAAGACTTCTTTGTCTGATTGGTGTTCCCTTACTAGCTTTTATTAGCCCTCCTCCCTGTTCGTGTATTTTTATGTGTTTATATTATGTTTTAAATATTTTATATACATCTGTATTTTAAATGCTTTTTAATGTCTGGAATGTTTTAATGTCTGCCACTCTGGGGACCCTGAATTGGGTAGAAAGCCGGAATTGAAATATTTTAAATAAATAAATAAAATATTATACAGCTGGCAGGGTTTAAAGCAGTATTTTGCTTCCTACTTGGATTATATGATTTGCCAGAGAATCAGAAACAGAAGACTGTAAATAGTCAGATAGAAGGAATAGCAAACAAAAAGGTAAACTGGCCAAAATATGAAACTAGACAACTGTTGACCAGAAATTTTAGGAACTATGGCGAACGTTCACACTGTCAGAATTGAAATGAAGATTTTAAAGCAGGCAGCAAACAGCTCATGACAGTGTTTTGGAAAATGCATCGAACATCAGAAGTACTGGGCTGGGCTTCTGTGTCTTCAACAAGCTTAACAAGTAGAAGTTCAACAGATGAAGCCTCCCCCAGCTTCTGTCCCTTCATGCAGGGGAAGAAATGTGCATGCTGAATTTCTGTCCATCGCATCATTTTTAAACACATAGAAGTCTTCCCTTCCCCACCTCTTAATTTTCAACCATATTTAGCTTTGTCTTCTGCTTTATAGATAGAGGTCATTATTCCTTCACAGGCAGTATAACTACTATCTTTCAGGTATGTTGTAGGGCTATCTTTCGGCTATGCTCCTGCAGAGTGCAGGGGGTTGGACTAGATGACCTGCAAGGTCCCTTCCAACATTTTATGATTCTATTATTCTAGTTACTCCTGTGCCCTTAAAAAGAAGAAAACATTAAAATGAAACAGTCTTTCTCATTACTGCATCTGCATTTATTGAAATTCTGCTTGTCATGAGACATTTAAAAACACAAGTCCCACCACAAATAAAGGTATGAACACTGTTAGAAAAAGTCACCCTTGTTTAGCTTTTGTTTTGTTTTTCAGAAGGGAAACCATTATTACAAAGCACTTTAAATAAATGGGAAGGGGGAAGCTTCTGTTGCTGACACTTTTAACATTTTATATTAATTCCTAGGCATTTCCATGGCTCTGTCCAGCCTGCCCCCCATGCAAACACAGGGAAAATCTACAAATGCTGTCAGTTACCTGGAGACCTACTATGATAAAATTAAAAATATATTACCTTGTTTCATGTCATGTTTTATAGAAAAGAAGTGGCACAAGCAACTTCAGCTGCTTCTTCCCCTCTCTAAAATGTTGTGTGAAAAAAGACCCAAGGAATTTCAAGAGGGAAAGGTTTAGTCTCTCATGCCAAGCAGAGATCTTCTCTAAGGGTTACTATAATGCATGGAGAACTGGGGGGTGGGGATCTTTATACTGGCCAAGGACATGGGCAAAGGAGGGGTAGTTGCCCCAGGTGACCTGGCAAGAGGATTTGTGAACTACTGCTTATGAAGGCAAGGTGGAACCCAGTTCACCTGTTCATCACAGTGACAAAACTGAAGTACAACTGAAAAGCCATTCACATAATGCTTTTCTATTTCATACAAACTGCAATGTGATATATGGAAAAAGTGATCCTCCAGGATACTGCTGCCACCATTACCCTTTGTCTCCTGTCTTTCCAGCCTGACAGACCTCTCGTAAGCCCAAGAAAGAGACAGGGATAGCCTTTGCAAGTGCCTGGCTTTTTATGGTACAGCCACTGGGAAGACACTCTACAGGGCCCGAGAGACTCTTGGCAAGGGAAAAGGGGAAGAGTTGGTCAGCCATTATTATATCTACCCCTGTAAAAATGGGCAACAGGGAACTGGAACACCAAATGGAAAGCCTTAGAGACAGCTACCACTTCCAAGCAAGGAAGCAAACATTGCAAATTCTGTTCCTGACCCAAGTACGTAAATATGAAAACACTCTAAAATATATATATTTCCTTTTGGTAATACACCTCATTTATATACAGTGTAACCTACTAAATTATTCAACTGTGAACAGTGTTTATGAGAAATCCCATCCTTTCATAGTTCCAAGAATTTGAAATGTACAGCCAAGCCTTCTGAGACTTTCAGTTCTAACAGGCAGATCTTTCCAAAGAACACAGCTTCATATTTACAAAGCAGTTTGAAAAATCAACATGCCTGTGTTCTTCTAGCATAGTACAAATTCATTACACATACATTGTGCATGCTGTTCAAGATCTCAGCTCACGACAGAGAATGCCAACACAATAAAACTTTAAGCTTTTCCTCCCTTTAGAGTAAAATAACAATAAACAGAGGAGTAATGTACCTTTTTAAAAACTTTTCCAGATGGCTGGATTTCATCTTCTTCCTTTAAGATTTCCCGTGTTCCCAAGAGTTTCTTATCGTTGAATTTACTTGTGGCATACTTGAAAACTTTGTCAAGCGTATCACATCCAGGATATAACACAGATGCTAAACAATGCAAACTGTTAACAGATCTGTATGCACTACCTGGCTTGTTATTCACTGGTTTTGCTTTGATTTGCCTTGATTTGGCGATGACATATCTCGATCCCGAAAATATATACCATGGGATATAGGTTATAATTGTATATATCAGGATTACAAACTTTATAACATGAAGAAGAAAAGGGTTGATATTATGCTGTAGCTTCATTGTGTCCATTTTTGAAGAATATACACTACACAGAACAGCTTGACAAAAATATCACATAAAGTTCAACAAAGTCCTGAAACAGAAAGGAGACAAAGAAAATATATTCTCATATATTGAAAGCACTTATTTGATCATTTCTGGTCACAAAAATACTTAAGAGCTTTTTGGACTGAAATCACACTTATTTTAAGAAAAATATAAACATCAAATATAAACAGAAAGCCAAACAGTAACGGAAGACTACTATTAAATATTTTACCAGTTCTTTCAAACATGGGCCCTTGACCCACCACTTAAAAACATATGAAGTACAGGACTAGGACATATCTTTTTTAGATCCCCCTAAGATCAGGGTTTGGGACCAGCTATAAGTTAGGACTGTAAGCACTGGGTGGATGAACCATTACCAGATAGTCCAGGCATCTTAAACCCAGACCCATGACTGGTAGTGCAATCCTAAACAGAGTTATGCCCTTGTAAATCCACTAAAGTCAACTGACTCAGAAGGGTGCAACCCTGCTTAGGGTTCACTTTTGGAGAAGCAGAACATGTCTTGGGCTCACCTTACCCTTCATCTCCTCTCCTACATGGAGTCTCTCCTGTAACTGATGCTTGAATTAATTTTAACAAGTTTGCCAATTCAGACACTATGGAGAACTGTAGTTAGAAATTATTTAACAGGGGAGCATCTGAACTTGTGGCACACCTAAAACTTGATTTGGTGGACTAGGTTTGTAATGTATACATTAAAACTATTTGTTTGTATCCCTATGTGCAAGATGTGCTGATGCAGACAAATAAAAAACCTATGTATTATTTCAATAAGATTTCTTGTCCATTTTCTTAAACCTGTATTGAAATAAATTTCCCAGGCATAAAACATAGATTCTGTCCAAATATCTCACATTTCCAAGCATGAGCATCAAATTTTTCAGAATCCAAATAACCAGGTACTCAGGAATGTCGTTTCAGAGGCTTGGATCCACCAGAGTGTTTCCACAGACAGAAAGATTTCTACTCACAGAGTGCAACTGGGGACCCCAGCAATTGGGGGGGGGGCAAGAAAGATACATTTCATGGACAGAAACCATCCACAGAAATGATCTACTTTGATGCAGTATGAGAAAGGTGCAGAGAGATTTCAGAAGGGTAGCCGAGGACTCACACCAGGGTTTAAAATCCCAACCCTGCCACTTGTTTTAAGAGCATTGGTTCAGATGTTTTTTATAACTAGAACAATGCTACATTTGTATACAATAATAGAGACTGTGTTTTAGCACAAACTTGAAAAACTATTTATAAAAAAGTATTTGTCTTCCCCAAACTGGACTTTTCCAGCCTAAGATTCAGGAAGAATATCATAAGAGATTATATCTTGTTCTTGGTAATCAATATATTATACTGCTATACAAAATAACCAATAACTGTGACTTTTCATGGATGTGACAGGTTCAACACACAGAACCCAAAAAACTATTACTTAGATTAAAAATTAGGAATATCTAGTCCCCCCCTTCTTCCTTCTGCACCAGAACAGCATGCACTGCAGGGAAATATGGAAGGGAATTTCCTACTACAAACCTCACTTCCTCACCAGACCCCACCAACTGGACACAGAAGTGCATGTAAACTCTGCCATGCACTGCGGATAGACTGAATTTTCCCCTTATGTTTTAGCAATTTGGGTCATTATTTAATTAAAGACAAATACAAACAAAATCTGTGCAGCGCACAATAGCAAGATCATAAGCTTACTTTTCATTGCAAATTATTAATTTGGTGGTAGGAAAGATTTCCAAAGTGTGCTAGCGAAGGTTTCCACTTTCATACTTCCACACAGTCCTTGGTTACAAACAGGAAGGGGTATATTTTTAAACACTGAGAAATTACTCAAATTCAGGAAAAATAATAGTATTTAAGTTTCTTACTTGTTCACCTTGGCTACCGAGCCATATTGCTATCTGATGCAGCCATTTAACGCCTGTTTAGTTCACTGGCAGAACTTGCATTGCCACCTTCTCTAGTAGCTGTAATAAAAAAAATAACAGCACATTTTAGAAGAGTAATGCAAAGTGTAAATACCTAAGTGATGGAAAGAAATGCTGTCAATTTTAAAAATGTTAAAAATAAATCTTATTGTAAAAAGCCAAAAGCAATTTGGTGGGATAAAAGTTTTATAAATAACTCTGCCAACAGCCAGTCCAAGGGCTTGTGAGAGGCTGTACTTCTACCCTACCAGGTGGAACCCCACCAAAAGAAAATCAGCTTGCTCCCAATTGGACATAACTGCCCGTCTCATTTTGACACTAACAACCTGAGCTCCACTCTTCTACCCACTACTCATTTTTCCTAATATGTCTTACAATTTAGTCTGAAAGCCTGAGTTCTTACAATAATGTCCTTTCAGTGATGCGAGTTATTTTGGAAGATGTCTAAGAAGTAGAACACAAATGTAATGAATAATCAAGAATGCACTGAAAATCTAGATCACTGGTTCCCAAAGTGGGCAATATCACCCCCTGGGGGGCACTGGAATGGTCTAGGTGGGCGGTAGGAGCCTTGGATGCAAATTTGTCACTGCATCTTCTTGTCCACTTCTTGAAGGTAGATTTCCGGGGGTGGGTGGCGCTGAGTAATTTCTTTTCTGAAAAGGTGGCGGTAGGCCAAATAAGTTTGGGAACCTCTGATCTAGATGATAAGCCATGTTAAATTTCAGTACAATACAAAATCTGTAGGGCTTTATGGATGGCACTTCCATGTTAGATCCCTTCAAGTCCGGCTTTCACCCAGGCCATGGGATGGAGATGGCACTGGTCGCCAATGTTCCCTCTAAGCTATGGAGTCCTGTGAGCAAAAATTCTACTCTGTGAGCTGCTGGCATTAAAGTTGTGAGGGAGCGATTTGGCTGCTGCATAAATTAGTTTGCTCTGGAGCCATCCTTCTTGAGCAAAGACAAAAATGTGTGAGCCGAAGGCTAAAAAACTGTGAGCTAGCTCACACTAACTCAGCTTAGAGGGAACAGTGCTGGTCGCCCTCACGAACGGTTGTGTTGTTGCTGTTGGACCTGTCGGCGGCATTCAACATGGTCAACCATCAGTTACTGATCCACCACCTCGCCAACACTGGGATTCAGGGGCTTGCCTTGCAATGGCTCACCTCCTCTCTCCAAGGTCGGGGACAAAGGGTGGCTCTCGAGGATCAGCTGTCTCGAAGGCACCCACTGATTTGTGGAGTGCCCCAAGGGCTTTTCCCCGATGTTATTTAACATCTATATGTGCCCCCTTGCCCAGATTGCCCGGAAGCATGGGCTGGGATGTCACCAATATGCAGCTATATCTGTTGTTGTACAATCAGTCTGACTCTAGACCAGATCTGGACCTGGGGCTACAAGCTGTGGCTGGTTGGCTTAGTCTGATTTAAATTTAATCCAAAGAAGATGGAGGTCCTGTGCCTGAGTTGGAGCAGGCCGGGGTTAGGGATCCCACCACCGGCCTTCAATGTCAGTGCCGAAGGTTAGGAGTTTGGGAGTACTCCTGGACACCTCCTTAACAATGGAGGCCCAGGCAGCAGCCACTGCTAAGGCAGCCTTTTACCATCTTTGGCTGATTAGGCAGTTGGTTCCCTTCCTTGAAAGCAATGATCTGGCAACAGTGATCCACGCAATGGTCACCTCGAGATTGGACTACTGTAATGCTCTCTACATGGGGCTGCCCTTGTCACAAATCCGGAAGCTGCAGCTGGTGCAAAATGCCACAGCCAGGCTGCTGATGGGTCTCCCTTTGCGGGAACATATCCAGCCTGTGCTGAAGGCATTGCACTTGCTACCAATAGCATACCAAATTCGCTTCAAGGTGCTGGTTTTAACCGTAGTCCTATATGGTCTGGGGCCTACTTACCTGAGGGACCACCTTTCCCCACATGTTCCCCAGAGAGCACTGTGGTTGGGGACTCAAAATTGTTCGGCCCTCCCTGGATCCAAAGATGCCAGGCTGGCCTCTGCCAGGGCCAGGGCTTTTTCAATAGCAGCTCTGTACTGGTGGAATGAGATCCTGGAAGACATCAGAGCCCTGCGGGACCTCTTACCGTTCTGCAGGGCCTGCAAAACGGAGCTCTTCCACCAGGCCTTTGATTAGGAGCCGCTTCCAACAACCAAACTGTGGTAATGCCCCTATACTACTCCCAACCGCCTGTGACAGCCTCTATAAATGGTCTGATAAGATGTTTACCAACTCTGGCTATACTCCTTTGTGACCATCCCACCATGGACTACTGGGATTTCTACGTAATATCATACCGCCACTAGCACTTTATTTTGTCATTGTATATGATTTTTACGATGTTTATAATTTGTGTTTTAATGTATTTTAACTCTTAATGTAAGCCACCCTGAGCCTGCCTTGGTAGGGAGGGATATAAATTGAATTAAATAGAACAACATCAACAACAACAATACAACAGTATGTAGCAAATACAGTGATATATGGTATAGTGGTTGGAGTCCAATCAGGACTGGAGAGCTTTGCCAAGTATTCGCTATCACATACAAAGCTCTTGCCTTGGTTCCTCATATCCCGAGAACCGCCTCTCTCCTATGCTCCATCACAACAGCTTCACTCATCTGAGCAGGGCCTTCTGCAGGTGCCACCCTGCAAACAGGCAAAAATCATCAAGTGCCCGTACACATGCATTCTGTGTTGTGGTCCCCACCTTATGGAATTGCCTGCCTGATGAGGTTAGGACTGCTCTTACTCTCCTGGCTTCCTGCAAATTATGAAAAAGAGGGCTTTTGTACACAGGTAACAGGGATGTACTCTAATGAAATGATTCAGAAAAATGCTTTGATAAAGGGATGGGGACTGTGGACTATACTACTGTGTATAATACGTAAAGTCTGTTGCTATAAGTATGCTCTTGCTATACAATTTCTGCACTGTTTAACATATCATGTTCAAATACTTATTGGATTTCTGCTTGTCTTCAGATTTCTGCAATCCGAACCCTACTGCACTGTTTATTGGATGTCCCATCCTGTTGAACGTATTGACTTATACTATGCAATCCACCTTGAGTCTTAGTGGGAAAGGCAAGCTATAAATAAGGTAAATAAATGTAAATAAATAAAGCTTGTCTTGTGTATCTGAGAAAAAAACAGAAGCTATGACAATTATATTAGTTTTCTTTTAAAATGAAGAATTAGCACATCTGAGAAAATTATTAAATTCATTTAATTGCAGCAGTTGGGATTGGATAAGGAAGTAATTTTGCCAGTTTATTTCAGGCAGAAATTTAATTTATCAGATGTGCCAATTTAAAAAGTTTGCATACTGATTTACAGTTTGTAATCCGCAACCACAATCCGAGACAGAGTTAGAAAGTAACAGATCCTTGTAGACATAAGTAGTTTAAATCTGCTTAACCTTGTGCTGGATTGTGGCCTGTAACTTTAGACTACAGCTCAGTTCTCAAGTCACTTGCTCTGGAGCACGGATGGAAAAACTGGTTGCATTTGTGTATTCAGTACATTTTTAAAAATCCTGCCCTTCCTCCAAGGAGTTCAGGGCAGTGTACACCGTTTTCCCTTCCACCACTGTATCCTCACAAGGGTCGTGTGCGGCAAGCTGGCCCAAGGCCACCCAGTGAACTTCATGACCGAGTAGGGATCTGAACCTGGCTCTCCCAGATCCTAATCTGAAACTCCACCCTGGCACTGAATTCTAAGAAGTCTGCCACTAGTCCAGTTGGTCTGTATCACCTTTGCCCCCCCTCCCCAAAACAGCACTACCCCGAGGTGCCTTTACAAATTCAGTAGCACGATGGCATGTTCAAGGCCTTGCTGCTTGAAGCACCCATTTTTGAATCTATCTGAAGTCATACTGCAACAAAGCAATGTATTTTAACAACATTGTTGTGATGACCCTTTTATGCCTTAAAGTAACTAGGGTTACTGGTGCTTGTGAAGAGTGGTCTGAACAGTGTGGGGGGAGGCTAAGGGAGGCCATCACCTCAAGGGCAGCACAGGCCCCTGCCTATTGCATGATTTGTCTTTATTCTCTCAATATGCATTCTTTTTCTCCTTTAATTAAGGAGGCTGGTACTATGGCACCCCTCCAGGAACTCCTGTTCTAAGAAAGTAAATAAAAAACGGCATGTTCTGCACTTTATGTTGCTCATAACCACTGTGTACAGTACAGTATATTTTCTGATACATATTAATGAGATCTCCAGCACTACACCGACCAGTTCCACAGAAGTCAGTAAAGCTTACTTTAGGAGAAAATGCATCAAAGTTTCTAGCAAAAACAAGGTTTGGAAAAACAAAGGGGTGACAGGGGAAAAAAAAAATCATGTTCTTGCTAATCTCTCCAGATCAAGTCAGTTGAAATTTAGTCAGGTGTTCTGAGAAACTGCCTGACTGTTGCTAGAGTTGATCCCTATTACCCAAGAGAATCTGTGATTTTACCCATTACTTTTAGAAGTCCACTTATTAAATGGGGGTGGGGGTGGGAATCCATTAAAAATGTGTTTACCAACTGATCTGATAATTTTGTAACAAACAATAAAGCACAAAGCATCAAGTCAAAGAAACCTTAAATGACTTCTCATTGTTGTTGTTGGTACTGACAGGACAGTTTCCCCGACCCTTAGTCTCAGCTGGAGTTGCCACGGATATCACTGTCAAAATCTGAAAGACAAAAAACTTAGAATTAAATAAAGTAATTATAAAACTGTAACTAAGTGCTGCCCTTTTACCTAAACAAATGCAGTAACCTAACACTCATACACAGAAGAGAAAAAGTCTTCATCAGGCCAGTTCAGAAATAATATATCAGTCCACTTGATTTATTTGGGTGGGTATCCTAATAATGTGGCTCAACAAGAACTCAGGGACACTTACAACTAGAGAAACATGAACTTCTCCCTGACTAAGTAAACTGCAACACATACCAATTCCAAGTTCAACCACTTCATCACAACAACTGCTGTAAGTGCAGCAACCACTTATGCTCACTGACTTCTAGCCTGTGGCTAGATGGCCATGTGCATCTGCCAGCATATGCAGAATTCAACATTTGGAATGGTATAACTAGCTTGCTAAAATCCTGCTTTGTGTTGATAGATATACATAGCTACCCATGGGCTGGGAGCTGGCACTGGCAGGACTTCCAAATGATTTTCCTATGCCACTATACTGTCAATAATCACAGAGAAACAGTCAAAGTCACAACAGCCTATATGGTTGAAAACTAGCCTCACTGAAGCCAAGCAGTAGCTGGAAGACAGACGTCTTAGAAAACCCTATTTAAATAGCCTTAAAGTTTATGATGGGAAAAGGTAGGATATAAATATAACAATGATTATGTATTTCTCAAAACAAACAAAACCATTCTGTACTTAATGTGATATAGTGATTAGAGTGTCAGACTAGGATCTATGATACCCAAGTTCTAATGTCAGCTATACCAAGGAAGCTTGCTGAAAGAAAGGAGAATGATATAAGCCTCTTTGGATCCCCATTTGGGAGAAAGATGGGGTATAAATGAAATAGATAAATATAAATAACAGTCAATGAGAATACAATTTTGGACATGAAATAACAACAGGATTAAAGCCCCCCTCCCCCCAAATTTTAAGCCCCCCCCCCCCCCGCAACAGGTCAAATACACTTGAAATCCAGCATCTCCATCCATTTTGCCCAAACCTGGTTAAGACTACTTGTCTACAAGACAGTACGGCAAGTATCAGAACTGCAAAAGATTACATGCAGTAAGAATGAGAATTTAGTATTGCAATTTGTCTTTTATGAGCAAACAAAAGGTTTACTTTCTTAGCTCAGGCAAAGTAACTAGAATTGACCTGAGGAGGAGGCTTATTTAATTTCAAAATTAACCTAGATTTCTAGGAACTCAAAGCAATCAAGAACTCAGTACGAGACAGTTCTGAATCTTTGGAGATTATTTTACTTTGAGATAAAATTGGAAGACATTAATTAATCAGTTTTAAATAAAACAATTTACTTGCAACTGAGAAAACATTACTACAGCTTCTGACCTTGAACTGCTCTGACCAGTTACAGCAGCTTCAATAGAGACTGCCCACAGTCTTCACTCTCTCCTACCTTTCAAACACAGCATGGCATGGGCCAGTGACAGGCAACCCACAACTGGCCCATGCTATACTCGACGTCCTAGGTATGCTGTGTCTGCTGGGGTTCAGCTGCAGAAAGATATATGGATCACACCTAACAGGTTAAAGGACTCAGTACTGTACCTGATACAGGATTAACTTTATCTCTGTTTGTAAATTTACAGGGGGCATCATGTTAGCTGGTGACGAAAGCAATATACTGGACCAGACTGTCTGATCCAACCAAGTAATTAGTTTCTTCTTATGATTAGGGCAAACAAATCCCCCTGAAATTAACAGAATTTGAAGCACAATTCTAAACATCTCTCCAAAGCAAATTACATTGAGTTCATTAGTGCTTCCTTGCTGGTAGAACATTTAGGACAGCAGACTTGCAGCACTAAGCATACAGTCAACTGTGTCTTACAGCCTGATCCTATGCATGTTTACTCAGAAGACCTGAGATCAATGGGGCTGACTCCCAAGCAGGTGGGTATAGGACTTGAACACATATGATCAGGTCTCTAGATATTTCAATAGGCAAAGTTTCCTTCAGCATTAGAGGTACATGGCCAACTGGCCTGGAAACAAATGTCATGTCCCTTTAAAAGAAATGGGCAGCTTAAAACTTTTCATGGCATGGAGGTAAATAACAATACCTGGTAAAAAACATCCCATTAAGCCTCTGTGATTGTCCCCATGGCAAGACATTTTTTTATTTCTGCAGGCAGTTAGCAATCCTATTTATAGGCCATATGCCAGAATACTGAACTGAATACTACGTTTATATAACAGTCACATTAAGTGTTACCATTCAGATGTGTTTTACATGTTGAAAAATCTCCTTTAAAGTACTTACTATTGATCAGTAAAGACTTTGTATCACAATTTACATGTATGATAACAGGAATGATTTTCTTGACCGGCTACTGTTTTTACAAAATTACTACTACTGTTTAAAGACCACCTTCATCCCAATCCATACTGCAAGCACAAGGCTAAAGAGAATTTGTCACAATTTTTGGCTACAGCAGGACAGAAATTTATTCTAATGAATCCAGTTTATTGGCTATTCTATTTTTTGCTATTACTGCATATTCATAATACAAGTGGTTACCTAACACACACACCCTTAA